TTCGCCTTCCTGTTCACAAGCCACATGGAGCCACACTGGTAGCAGCCAGACCCCTGGAAATGTGTCCACTACCACTGAATCCACAAGATTTTTCACCCACTGGCCTGTGATCTTCATGAATTTGGCATCATTGCGAGTGGCTACATGAATCTAAAGAGGAATTTATGGACTAGTATCAGACATATGGGCTAATATTAGACTTGTACACTTTATCTGGACTGAGCAGGGATGTTTTCTCAATATACAATTACCCTTTGATATAAAACTCTCACACACATATGAGTGTTCCTGGATTTGTTTCTATAGTCAACCCAGACTAACACATCCTGGCTTTAACTGAATTAAAATATATAGAAATTATTTGCATGGGGTAAAACCCATAAAGCTTTGGTTGATGATAATCCTAATCTCCCCATGTTGTATAAAAACGACTATAGGATTTGTATGGGGGGTGGATCCTACTTGGAATTAACTCCTTGGCAGGGAGTGCAAATCAATATTCTGGTGGTGCTACTGGGTAAGCATTGGACTGCTAATCTTAACGCCAACAGTTCAAACCTAGCAGTCACTCCTCAGGAGGTTGTCTGCTCCCGTGAATATTTATAGGCTTGGAAACCCTGCATAGGGTTGCTGTTTGTTGGAATCTATTCAATGGCAATAGGTTTGCTTTGTTTTGTTTTAATCTTCTAATCCTGGTATTCAAACTTATACTCATTCATTTAGAGAGATTAGCTATTTATAATTACACCATTAATGAGCCTTGTTGCTTATATAATGCTTTTGCTAGGTGTAATTATAATGATCAATTATTGTATTGTGCTCCCTTGGCAGAGTATGCATATTTGTGTGAAGGATTTGAATTTGTTAGCTTACATAATCAACATCCTGCTAATTACCCTGCAGTCTGGGCCACTACTCATGTTGGCAGATGGAAAATTACCAGAAACTGTACTAGATTTACTCTGGGAGTTCTTTTTGATGTACACGGTGCACAGGCAGCTACTAATAAGTAGTGTTAAATATTTCAACATCACCCACAGAGCCTTGACTCCTAAAGAGAACCCATTAGTCAGTCACCCTGGTTGGGGATGTTCCCTTTTAATAATTTCCATTCCCTTATTTAGAATAGTTGAATTAGACAATAAGACACTTATGCACAACAAAGTCTTTAATTGTCAACAAGGTTTAGGAGAACATGGCTACTCAGGAAAGATCATTCGAGTCTTTAGCTAGTTCCCCCTAACTATTTAGTTCCTTAATGATTTAACTTCTTCCTTTTTTTGCTAACTCAACAAGGCAGAATATATACATGACCAACACATCTTGTTCACGTGCAAGAAAAACTGAACCCTGCAAATACTTCAGAAGGGCTGATTGCTATAAGGAACAAGTCAGATTATCGAAAATCCATGTGGTGACTTCAAACAATATTTGCCCTTTCAGACTATCGAAAATCCATGTAGTGACCTCAAACAATATTTGCCCTTTCATGATTGACTAACTTCACTCAGCTTAAGGCCAAACAATCAAGGTTTTCATGTTGAAAGAAATAGACTTTGATGGCTGCCAGCGGTGGGAAGGTCAGGGAGGACAGTGGAAGCAAGTGGCTAGAGGGTAGTTAGGTGTTAACTTGGGTGAAGAGGAAGCTAATCCCCTACAAAGGGAAAAGAGCCCAAAGAAAGGGCAAACAACTGGGAGGATTTAATCATTGTTGAAATTGT